GTATAGCAAAATGATATTACCTCTCAAAGGTACCATAAAATAAGACAAGGTTTTCATCTTTCATTAGTCTAGATATTATTTCTTTTTATTTTGATTATCAAGGTAAGAAAATGTGGAAAAAATGCTAATCACAGTTTTCAAGAGCTTTAAAATTCCTGCTCCTTTCCTCCTTAAACCTGAAATTATTCACTCTTCTTCTGTACGGGACTGCCTGTATTTTGCAGCACAAACCGGTGCCAGAGGTGGGGGTGCAGGTGCTTCTAACTATGCTGGTGTATAAAATGCTAAAATCATAGCCTAGTGAGCTGCAATACGTCAGATGAGGGCTGTGGAGCGAATCAAGACCTGATTCAGAAAGAGAAGAACACAATCTAGCAATTTATAAATGTGAATCATCACGTTAACTTGAAAGGTCCACAGAAGATGTATTACTCATCTTTTCCTGGTAGTTTAATCATAGACTGCATATGTGCCTCTGCTTCCTGTCATTTCCCAAAAACGAAGCTAAAACCAAAGGAGGCTGCCATCTTTCATTTTTGGATGCCCAGTCCTGATTTAACGCAGAATGCCCAGACTTGACTCCACGCACCCGCCCCCAACATTTTTACAAGCCTCGCTGCTCCAGTGGTGATCGCCTCTGCTGTGACTGAAAGCCACTTACACGCAGTGTTGGGAAGGTTACTTTTAAAATGTATTCCACTACAGAATACATGCCCCAAAATGAAGTTACTCAATGAGAGTAACGTATTCTGAATACTTTGGATTACTTAATATATTGTCATGCTTTTTACAACTACATGAATGTACTATTGCTGTGATTTATTACTATTACTGAAGGCTACTCGCTACCGAGCTAACATTGTTAGGTTAGTTCATAGACTGCTTTCAGAACTACGCATGCTAATTTGCAGCTAGCAGGTTGTTAATGCTATCCATCAATTCTAACTGCCTGCAGTCTATGAACTAACCTCAGCAAACAATGTTAGCTCGGTGACGAGAAGCCTTCAGTAATAGTAATAAATCACACAGCAAAAGTACATTGAAGACACTGAAGTCGCACATAGCCCAGGTAGCTAACACAACTAAAACAAGGTAATTGAACTAAGCTAATGGTTAAGTTCTTAAAAAAAAAAAAAAAAGAACTTCCTTCCAGATGTTTCTTTAGTTTGGAGGTCGATTCTTTTGTGCTGGCTTTGGGTCCATTGTGTAACTGACGCTACCAAAATTAACAGGACCCTTACATTAGAGCTTTATTTTGTGTTTTATTTGGGTTTCGGCAATGCGTGTAATTTCCAAAATTTGAGAGGGGATAGCCTATCCTCTGCCCGTGAGCGCTTTGGCACGGGCGAGGTGCCCACGGCAGCACCCGCTGCTTGTTGAGTGTAAGAGCGATACACGCTTTCACGTCAAAAAGACATCATAAATAAGTCTCCAATAACACCTGAAAAAGTCGCTTTTTAGAAAAAAGTCGCTAAGGGGGTCTGAAAACTCGCTAAATATAGCGACTAAGTCGCTAACACTGTCCTCAACCCTCTAATATTTAGAACTCATACACTTACTGCCTCCTCCCCCTTTACAAGTCTCAAAAAGCAGAAAAACGGCTACACTCAGCAACGGCAATAATGCCTCCAACAGTGGAGGATCTTTTCTTTTAAAATATGAATACAAATTATGAGTTCATACCACCACTGAATCTTATGTGGTAAACATAATTATCCCTGCCACACACACACAGTTGTGATATCAGTCAGCAGCTGCACAGTGTCTCCTCCTCTCTGGTGCTGGCAGTTTGATAACTACAGAGCCAGAAAAAAAGGTTTTAGAAATTCTTTTTTTCTAATTTACTAACCAATCTCAAGATCATGTTGCCTGTCCTCTTTGTTTTCAGACAGTCTCAATAACAGACATGAGAAGTGCTTGATTCCTAAAAATCATCCCAAAAAACACACGTGCAATGTGTTTTTAATGAACGAGAGTTTAACAGGAGCAAAAACTTCAGTGAAATGAAGGTGCAGGAGTTTACAAATTAAAACAAATTAATTTTTTCACTGACGTGAACAGGTGACGCATGCACGTTTAAGCAAGTTAGTTCCACAAGCTTAAGAAACAAAAGCAGCCTGATATCAGACGTAACAAGCACTTCATTGCACTCTGACTGTCGTGTCTGGAGCCAAGCAAACACAACAGAACAGGAGAGGAAATTGTGCTTATATATTCACTGGCCAATTTATTAGTTACAACTTGCTAGCACTGGGTTGGACCCCGTTTTGCCTTCAGAATTGCTTTAATTCTTTGTGGCACAGATTCAACTAGGTGCTTGAAAATATTCTGAGATTTTGCTGCATATCGACAGCTTCACGG